CATCTGCTTCCTGCTACTGCTCCTCATTAATTCTTGCTCCTCATCCCAACCCCCACTCCTCCTTCTTTCCTTCTCCCTCTCACCTCTGCCTTGTTCCAGCAGTAAGAAAGGGAAGGTAGCCGGGCTGGGTGGCTCAGCCTATAATCCCGTGCTTTGGGAGGCTGAGGTGAGTAGATTGCCTGAGCCCGCAGGTTAGAGACCCGCCCGGGCAACTTGGCGAGACCTCATCTCTACAATAAATCAAAATATTAGCCAGGTGTGGTAGTGTGTGCCTGTAGTTCCAGCTACTTGGAGGGCTGAGGCAGAAGGATTGCCGGAGCCTAGCAGGTCGAGGCTGCGGTAGCCGGGAGCGTGCCATTGCACTCCAGTCTGGGCGACAGAGTGAGACTCTAACTCAGAAAAAGAGAAAAAAAAAAGAAAGGGAAGGTGCTGCAGACATATGCCAGGACCAAGGATGTCCTACCAGACAATGCCCAATTCCTAATGCAAGCAGAGCCACTTGGCACTCTGGGATCGTAAGGAGGGCTGGACATATTAACCACATATTAAACACAAGTTATTTAGCAGCCACCTTTGAGACTGGCAATGCAGACTAGAGGTCACCTGGGAGGCTCTTGCCACTTATTTTAATTGTAGGAGATGCCTTTCACACATATGCAATCTTTCCCAATGATTTATCACTTCCCCGGGTGTTTTTAAGTGTTCTACCTCACTTCACCAGCACTGCATCTCCATCTCCAAGGGGAGTCCGCACAAATTGAAGATGACATTGGACTTTTATGTCTTCCTGATCTGAAAGAAGCGACTAGAGCTTGAGATAAATGTCAAGGCTCCTTTATTCCTGTTCTTCCACCAGTGGAAACCACAGCTGGACCTTGATGGTTCAAACCATTTACTAATGAATAAGCTTTCTAAGCTCTACCACCCCCATGATTTCTCATCTGTCAATTTCCTCTGAAATCTTGAGCTCCCTGGGAGACCATGGACACAAAAATGATGGCTTTGTTTGCTGGCATTCGGACCAGCTCAGGAGCAGGGGACTGAAACCAGCCTCTTGAGAGGGGACAAAGCAAGACCCTGCATGTGCAGATTCCAGGAGCCCATTTTCACCTCCTAGGTGTGGTGACACAGCTAAGCCACACCGGGACACCACTCCTGTCATCAGCATTGTGACTCTGAGAACAAGAAGCTCAGGTTCAAGGCACCCCATGTCCCCAGCCCCAGCCTGGCTGCCAGACTCAGTCCCCTCAACTAAGAAGGCTTGGATGTCAGGAACACGTGTCACTCCCTCAGAATGAAACGAATCCAGGTTCCCCAGGGCGGCTTTTGATCACTAATGCTGCTCTGACTCAGATGCAAATGCCAAACAAGTTACACTGATCATCAACCGGGAAAAATGGAAATGTAGGGAGTTAAGATTAGCAGGAGGAGAAAAATATATCCTTGCAAACTCAAGTCAAATATTAGAAGGAACCACTGAAGTTAATTCTGGCTTTTAAAAAGTTTTTACCTCCAACCACACAGCAATTACTACAACTGACAAATATGCTTACCACAAGCTGTGTGCATAAACATAGCAGTGTGGTCCGGGGTCCCTCGTCACAGGCTCACCAGCTGATTTCTATCTTTTTATATTTTATTTTACTTTATTTATTTGTTTATTTATTTCTGAGTTGGAGTCTCACTCTTGTCGCCCAGGCTGGAGGGCAGTGGCACACTCCCAGCCACCACAGCCTTGACTTGCTGGGCTTAGGTGATTCTTCCGCCTCAGTCCTTTTTATATTTTAAAGCCTTTACTGAGCTCTTACTGTGCACTGTTTCATGTGTATTACTTCATTTACTCCTCACAACATTTATTCCTTTGGGAGTAAAGACTATTTTTATTCACTTTTTCCAGGTGAGGACACTGAGCCTCAAGACACAGTAAGAATTACAGAGAAAGGAAGTGGCAGAGCAGTGATAACCTCAGTTAACCAGACTGGACAGCCTCTCGGCATTCCCAAGGGAGTGTAGTAACCCCTGGTAACCTGAAGGTAAATCCCTTGAATCAGCTTCAGTGTTACACAGCCCCCATGAGTGCTGCTGAAACCATATCAGATTCTGAGACCTCTTATAGAGGCAAGAGTAGTGAAAGTGAGGAGGAGGAATACCCCTGGACTGTGGCAGATAGGAGACCCATTTTTTTCCACTGGAAAAATCTATGATTAAAAAAAAAATTTAAAAAACCAAATATCAATGCAGGCTTGGACTCAGATTAATGGAAGCTATCCAGTTCACCACCAGCCTTTGCACCTCTCATCCCTAGACACTGTAGTTGGAGGTCTGCCCTTGACATCTAGGTACCCACACTTGCAAGCCAAGTGGTGCTTCTCCTCAGCTTGGCTAGCATCAGTCCAGACTGCAGCAGGCATGACACTAGTGCAGGCAGGTGACTGGTCATCAGTCCCAGTCACCAGCTATAGGAACCACCAAAGTCTAGAAAAATGGAACATGCATCAAACTTCATGTGAAGCAAACTTTTACAGTGCTATTTAATCTAGTGAGCCTGAGAGAATGCCTGTCATATTAAAAGTCAAGTCCATACTTTTCTTAACCTTCGATTAGTCAGAATTCTTGATTAATTGGAGCTGGGTGGCCTGCTTTGAAAACAAGTTCACATCAAGACATTAAAATGAATGATAACGTAGCCAGGCATGGTGGGACGTGCCTGTAGTTCCAGCTACTTGGAAGGCTGAGGTGGAAGGATCACCTGAGCCCAGCAGGTCGAGGTTGCAGTGGCTGTAAGTGTGCCAGTGCACTCCAGTCTGGGTGACAGAGTGAGACTCCAAAAAAAAAGAAGAATGAATAAATAAATGCTTTCATGTATGTCCTAAGAGCAGTGCAAATTTAACTAAAAATGAAACTTCTTTTGTCTATAATAACAGCTCAGTGAGAAGCAATGATCAAAATCAGGACCCTGAAAAAAAATTTTTTTTTTTTGAGTTGGAGTCTCACTCTGTTGCCCAGACTGGAGTCCAGTGGCCACTCCCGGCCCCCGCAGCCTCGACCTGCTGGGCTCCGGCAATCCTTCCGCCTCAGCCTTCCGAGTAGCCGGAATTACAGGTGCGCACTACCACGCCCAGCTAATTTTTTGATTTACTGTAGAGATGAGGTCTCACCTGCCCAGGCGGGTCTCGAGCCCGCAGGCTTGGGCAATCCACTCACCTCAGCCTCCCAAAGGCGCGGGATTACAGGCTGAGCCACCGAGCCTGGCTGGACCCTGAAAAATTTAAACATTCTGCATCATTATATAAAGAAGAAAGCTGAAATCATATTCAAGTTGAAGAGCCCAGTCCAATGTAGGGAACATTTGACAGCACCAGTTGATACAAAGCAGGATTTTCTGCTTGCCTCTCTGGGTAACCATAAAGTTCAATAAACCAAGGTGGATCCACCTGGTGCTCTGGGTGCTGCAGCTGGCCTGCCTGTGACCATGCTGGCCATAACTGCCCTGGTTCAGAACACACACTGCTCAGTGTTGGAGAATCAGTGCCAACATGGGGGATAAAAGCTGATGGGAGTCTGCTAAATAAAAGTCACGCAAAAACCAGGGTTCGTGCCATGGTTTCCTGGAATCACTGACAGCTTGAATCCTCCTTATAATAAGATCTAGTCAGCCGGCTCGGTGGCTCAGCCTGTACTCCCGCACCTTTGGGAGGCTGAGGTGAGTGGACTGCCTAAGCCCATGGGTTCAAGATCCGCCTGGGCAACTTGGCGAGACCTCATCTCTACAATAAATCAAAACGAGCCAGGCGTGGTAGCGCGTGCCTATAGTTCCAGCTACTCGGAAGGCTGAGGCGGAAGGATCGCCGGAGCCCAGCAGGTCGAGGCTGCAGTGGCCAGGAACGGCCACTGCACTCCAGTCTGGGCAACAGAGTGAGTGTCCAACTCAAAAAAAACCCCAAAAAACAAATAAGATCTAGTCAAGACTTTAACAGCTAACCTCTCTTGATGAAATAATGAACACAAATAGGATCTACCTCTTTTTGGTAGGAAGCTTTCAATGAGCTTATTCTACTCTAATAGCAAAAGCTGCGGTGAGCACGCCAAACAACACATCCTATGCTATTGTCAGGTGGTGCTGGGCTCACTGGAATGGGTACTACTGGGGATTAGGTGAGAAGCAGAAGCGGACACCATTTTATGACTGGACAAAATACATTCTCTTCACTGCCAAGGCATGCTGGTAGAACAACAAACTGTTGCAGAAGAAAAGCAGCAATCGTTCAGTTAATTCACTCAGCAACGACTGGCCACTCATCTCCTGGGTGCTGTGACTGTGCAGTTCCAATGCGAACTCACTGTAACCACATCTCTACTCCAGACTGTGGAGAAGCTGAAACAGAGACGGCCAAGCACTGATGAACAAACAGTCCACTCCAACGGACATACACATCAGACACCTGTGCCGTGTCTGTGCTTTACTTGAAAAGAAAAAAGATGTAGACAGAAAGGGGAAGCTCTAAAGGAAAATGAGCCAACATGGGCAACCCCTTCATTCCATGACCAGAAGCTACCAGGTATGACCATGGGTCTGGAGATTATCACCATAAGAAAGGTCTTGATTTTGAGTTAACGACACCAGGTTTAAAAGCACCCAAATTTCCATGTTAGCATTATTTATCTAAGAAGTATGCCACCAAGACAAAGGACTTTTAGACACATCTGACTGGACAAGAAGCCATGATCTTCCCCAGACCAATAATGACACAAGATGGGAAGGACAATCAGTCCAATGGCCCCATGACATGCTCTGCAGAACAAGGCAGACTTCCGGGGTCCTGGAGGCTAGTCTGGCCCCACAGGACAGATGCCTGCTCTCAGACTCAAAGCATGCTGCGGCCAGTACCTAGGAACCACCTGTCCTTGGGAGGGCTCAGTGTGGCCCAAGGACAGAGACAGGCAAGCTCATGCATGGGTTAGTATCACAGAGGGTAGAACCATCACCACATACAGAGTACCTGGGAAACCTACTTTGAGGGCTCAAATGCAGATAGGTCTTCTGCCTTGGGCTTGAGGCTAAACCAGCAAAATAAAACGAAGAAAAAAAACATACCCTGTGATATCAACAATGTCACATGTGCCATTTGCAAAATGCTCAGATAGGCCTGAAATTGTGATTGTTTGTTTTTAATGGCTTGGAAAGGGGTCTCTCCAGCTTTCAGCACTCCAGGTTCCCATGAGTGAGGGCCTCTCTCACTGCAGCAGCAGCAGTAAAGATGAGACTGCTCCTGGGGCCCAGTTGACAAGGTGGGGGCAAGGAGTTGGGGTGTGGTGTCTGAGGCAGCTCATTCAAGGGCTGACCGGCTCACTGGCCAAGACATCATTTTACCTCTTTTCTTAATGACTGAGGCCTCCCTTTAACTCCTCCTTTTACTAACTGTTTAATCATTTTGTTTTGGTAGGAAAATCCAGTAAATTACAGAAGTCAAAGGAAAGAAGAAAGTGGAAATGCCTTTTCACTATTAAAAGGAATTTTCTACCCAGTGCCAGGTGTAGCTGGAGTGGAGAGATAGAAGTCAAGGCTTCCTACTGAACCTACCAAGGACGGCAGGGAGATACAGATTTCTTGCAGTTTTCAGACACAGCTTAGCCACTGAAAACAGAGATAGTCCTTAAACTGTGAGTCTGTTTAAAGACTAAGGTAAAGAGTAAAAAATTAAGCATATCAGTCATTATCTAAACTCAATCAACTGTCTTATCTTAATAACACCTATTTTATAGGTGTTAACCTGATCTGGGCTATCAGTTAAGAGAAAAACTTCAATTGGCAAGAAAGGACCTTTCTGCTTGGTCCAAATAAGAGAAATATGCTTTGGGTCTAATAATTAGTAGAATTTAGCTTTGAAATCTCTAAAATGCTAAAAAAAAAGCGGGGGGGGGCACCTGAGGAGAAAGATAGGAAATCGTTTGCAACATAATGAAGTCTTGCCTTTTTAAAACACTGAGGTTCTCCTGGGTACTTTCTTTTAAGCATGAAAAAAGTTAAAAATTCAGCATTTGGTCTCTAAGTCAAGAATAGAATTTTATAGTTCTTGCCACTTAAACACACAAAAAGAGTAGAGGGAAAGTTCATTCTCAAAAGCCTCCATTTCACTTTGCTTTCTCATTAAGTAAGGCAGCTCCCTGGGCATAACGCTCCTTGGCTTAAAAGAATCACTTTACTGCTAAACAATGGATCAAACCCCCTCCTGTAACAGGGATTCATTACATCAGAGCTTTTAACACAAGTTCCACTTCCATCAAACCAATGGGTTCATAGTCATTGGCAGATTAAATTCCCTTTCTGGCATGAGTAAAAAAATTTCCTCAACCAAGTACACATAAAAAATAACAACAGTCTAACGACTCGGCTACCAGATGCCAGCCTTACATTTCATTAATGACTGTCCTGATCAGCAAAATGCAAAAAAGAGACTCTGGGTACCTTTTTAATGGTATTGTGCTTGCTGCTGCTGCCGCCCCTGTCAGAGTTCTCATTGTGCAGAATATCCAAAGCCGTCTCCCTTTCTTTTAGTTTCAAGGCCTCGATCTCTGTCTTGAGTTCATTGAGCTGCTCCTGTAGATGCTTGCTCTTCTCCATATATTCCACTCTGCCAGCAAGAAGATTTTGTGTATCAGGGCTTGGGCGAACAGTGAGACATGGCTGAGATGTCCCATGACCCACAAGCTGCTCAGCATGAGACCCAGGGTCTGAGGCCCGGGGTTCACGTTTCTATTTGGCCACTCATGGACTATAGGAGCTTGGCTGGACACTTAACTATTATACATCAGTTTCCTCATCAGTAAAATTGGGGTATGATCACAGGGCTGTGATCAGGATTAAATTGAAAGAGTATAGGAAAGCCCTCTATAAACTCTTATTGCATGCCTGCCAAATACCTGTTGTCATAGATAGCTTTTAGTTCAGGACAAAAACAACATATGGGCCAGGTACAGTGGCTCACACTTGTAATCTCAGTGCTTTGGGAGACTGAGACAGTAGGATCACTTGAGGCCAGAAGTTTGAGGCTGCAGTAAGCTATGATAGCATCACTACACTCCAGCAACAGAGCGAGACCCTGTCTTTAAGAAAAAAACAAAACAGAAAAACAACTACAACAAAACCCCACACACATGAAACAAGCCTCCTGGCACCTAAAACAATCTCCTTGTCTCAACCCTTCTTGAAGCAGTAATTCAAGTGACCTCTATCAATAGACCACATCCACACTCCCACTTGTTCTGAGACTTCATCCTCAAGATGACAGAAGCTCACTCAGCCAACACAAAGAAAAAAAAGATCCTCACCCTCATCTCCAATAGATACACTGAGCAACAGGAGCTACAATGGTGAAAATCTGCAAACCACTCCCAGTGATCAACGATAAGAGCATAGCCAGGAAACTATACAACATAAATACCAAGGAACATTTCATGTGAATTATTGTGGCTAGTATATGGACTCTGTCCACATGTGCAAGAGTAATAAGTAAATGCTATGCTCTGAATGTCTGTGTCTCCCCAAAAGTAATATGTTGAAATCTAGCTGAGCATGGTGGCTCACACCTGTAATTCCAGCACTTTGGGTGGCTGAGGTGGGAAGATTGCTTGAGCCCAGGAGTTCAAGATCAGCCTGGGCAACATAGTCAAACCTGGTCTCTACAAAAAAACTTAAAAATTAGCTGGGCATGGTGGCACATGCCTATAGCTATAGTCTGTTACTCAGGATGCTGAGGTAGAAGGATTGCCTGAGCCCAGGAGGTCAAGGCTGCTGTGAGCTGTGATCCTTGTGATCACACCACTGCACTCCAGCCTGGGTGACAGAGTGAGACCCTGATTCAAAAAAAGAAAAAAGAGAAAAAGAAATCTCATCACCAATGTGAAGGTATGAGGAGGTAGGGCCTTCGGGAGGTCATGAGGGTGGTGTCCTCATTAATTAATGGGGTTAGTGTTCTTATAAAGAGGTTCCAGAGAGACCCTTCACCCCTTCCGTCATGTGAGCACACAGTGAGAAGGCGCTGTTAGGAGGATGGCCTTCCTCAGATTTTAAGTTTGCCTTAATCTTGGACTTCCCAGCCTCCAGAACTGTGAGAAATAAATTCTCTGTTTTATAAGCTATCCAGCCTCTGGAATCTTATTATAATAGCCCAAATGGACTAAGGCAGTGACAGAATACAAACTACAAAATACAGGACACAGAACCAGATGTAGCCTCATTCTGATCCCAACCACATAAGTACGTACATCTGGAAAATGGTAAAAGGAACTCAGATAGTAGATACTACAGCTAGATGCTCTGGTTCCCTTGCTACTCAACTATACTCACAGTATGAAAGCCCAAAGAGAAACACAGTCTGGCTTACGGGTGCCCAGACAGGACCCCACAGAGACACTTGCCCCAGAGGGTTTTCCTGAAGATACTACACATGGTAAAAACGCATGGGCTGTAGAGTCAGATGGGGGGTTTCAAGCCCTGATCTACTCCATATCATCTGGGTAAGTTCATTAAACTCTCTAAATCTGTGTTCTCATTTATAAAATGGGATCATTAAAACCTGTATCTTTGATGTCAGTTTGATGTTTACTACTGAGTAGGAATTAAATGAGACAAAAGCTAAAAAAAAACCCCTGACACACAGCACTACTCAAAGTAGCTACTATGACAGTTCCCAGTTAACCAACTCACCTTCAGCTCAGGAACCAGGGGCCCTCACTTAGATGCTCTCTGCAGTGGGAATCCTTTCTATCTCTGATCCATTTCCACCAACCATAAAGTGAAGGTGGAGGGCAGCTCAGCAGAAGCTGCTATGTTCAGGACATGCCAAGGCCCAGCCCAGTGCCACCCAAAGCTGACTGTTGGCTCTCCTCAGACTCCAGCCTGAGTTCCCTCTCTCATTTTTGTTTATTCTAGATATGGGAACCACAACAGATCCCAGTCTGCAGAAAACAACTAGGAGACAATTGCAGTCTAGTACAACAGCAGGCAGCCTGACTCAGAGACTGCAGACAACCAAGTCCTACACTTTAGGAGAGGTTTAGAGCCACTATAAACTCAGGTCACCAGTCAAGCATTATTTTTATCCTGGAAGATCAAATATTGATCTGTTGTCCTTAATTTCTGATTAGGAAATTCTTCCTCCAGGGATAAGAAAAGAGAAAACCTTTGCAGGAGCTAATGACCAGTGGCTGTGGGAATCCCACTCCTCGGCCTCCTCCCACCCCCTTTCCTGGGCCCAGATCACTCACCCTAGTTCACAGCTACCCAGAGGAGGGCACAGAGGACTACATACTTTTCTTTCTCTATCTCCATGGAAAGCCGCTTCATGTCAGTATCCTTGAAGTCAAAAGACAGGCTGTCACCAATGAGGTTGAAGCTTGGTATGTCAGGAGGCAACGGTGCTGGAATTGGGTTCATGGGCTATTAATGAGAAATCTCACATTAGGAGCTTTGGGTTATACAAGAGAAGAGGGGCACTGCAGTATTAACAACCAAACTTCCAGCAGCTACAGAGGCAATAGGCACAATGCAGGCCCTGCCTCTCAGACCCATCATGACCTCCACTTCAGTCCCTCCACACACGCTGCTGCCATGTCACAAAAAAATACACAACCAAAGCAAACTATCCCTCACCCCTCAAATCTTTAACTGTTCTCCAAGCTCAGTCAAAGCAAACACAAAACCCCACTTGGCCGGGCTCAGTGGCTCAACCTGTAATCCCAGCACTTCGAGAAGCTGAGGCAAGTGGATTGCCTGAGTGGGTTTGAGACCAGTTCAGGAAACTTGGTGAGATCGCGTCTCTACAATAAATTTTAAAAATTAGGCAACCCCCTTGGGTCCCCTCCCATTCTAGAAGCTTTGCTGTCCTCTCAATAAATCCTGCTTTAAAATTAAAAAAAAAAAAAAAAAATCAGCTGGGTGTGGTAGCACATGCCTATAGTTCCAGCTATTTGGAAGGCTGAAATGGAAGGATTGCTGGAGCCCAGCAGGTTGACACTAAGATGGCCGTGAGTGTACCACAGTACTCCAACTCCAGCCTGGGCAACAGAGTTAAAAAACTCAATTAAAAAAAAACAACCAAAAAAAACCCCCTCACTTTTTCACTGGGTCTGGAAACTCCCAGGCTCTGTGCCAGGGACTGGAGATGCAAAAAAAGGGGTCCCCAACTGAACAGCTGAAAGTCTTGTTTGGGAAACAGGTGTGTTCACAGATCATCACACTTAAGTAAGGTAAACCCTGCAGCCAGGGAGTGAACAAAGGCCGAGGGGGCTGGAAAAGGTATGCCAGAAGAGATGCCACTTCCGCTGTCATCTGAGAACCAGGAGAAGGCCTGCCAGGCAGGAGGCATGACTGTGAGGAAGGCAGCACTCAGTAAGAGTGCTGGGTGTCGGCAGTGCAGTGTGGGGAGGCAGGATGAGAGATGGGCACCAAACACAAAGGGTTGTATTTGCATGCTGAGGGGCTTGAACTTGGACAACAGAGCTAAAACAGGGCTCAAAGCAGGGTGTGTTTTTAGGACTTTTATCCCAGAACAAAGGGTCATCTAAAAGAGGGTCCCAATCTATCTCCCTGGCTTCTCCCACTATTTGCCCTCCTACATCATGAATAGTATTGTCTATCCTCCACTGAACCACTACCATCTCATCTCTGCCCTCACCTCTACCATTTCTTCTCCCTATACTGCTCTCTTTCAAGGTCCTTCTCAATACCACAGTCTCTCACCAAAGCCTTTCTAGATCCTTCTTGGTTAGATGACAACTCTTTGCTGTCTTTTTCTTTTTCTTGGGTTGAAGTCTCACTCTGTCTCCCAGACTGGAGTGCAGTGGCTCGCTCCCGGCCACCGCAGCCTCGACCGGCAGGGCTCCAGTGATCCCTCCGCTGCAGCCTTCCAAGTAGCTGGAACTACAGGTGCACACTACCTATTGTAGAGATGAGGTCTCGCCAAGTTGCCCAATCGGGTCTCGAACCCGCGGGTTCAGGCAATTCACTCACCTCCGGCCTCCCAAAGCACAGGATTACAGGCTGAGCCACCGAGCCCGGCCTGCTGTCTCTTAACATTGTGTTTATGGTTCTGTAATGACTCTTCTAGGATTGTAAAAGATTCCTTTTTAGATATGTCTTCTTTCTGTTGTTTGCAAGTTTCCTGAGGGCAAGATCTGTCTCCTTTTCATCCTTGGATCACTTTCTGACTCTAGCATCTGACTCTAGCAGAGACTCAGAACACTCATTTGAGACAATCACCAAGGCCTAGGCAGATTGTCTGCAAGAGCATTAACAGCAGTGCCAAGAAGAGGCTTCTAGGGTACTAGGAATGTTCTGTTTTCCAATCTTAGTGCTGGGTACATGGGCGTGTTCAGTTTGTAAAAATTCATCAAGTTGCACAGTTGTAATCTGGACACTTCTCTGTATGTTGTAAGCATGTTATATTTTATAAACGTTTCCAGAAAAGAGATGAGTAACAGCTGCTGTACCACTGATGGGAGCATAAAATAGTACGAGCTCTTTGAAGAGTTTCAGAATTGAAAATTTGACCCCATAGTTCTATTCTGAGAATTTATGTTCATGTGTGTTCAGAGATGTTCAGTGCAGTTTTTGTTCAAAATTGCAAAAGAAAACAGACTAAATGCCTATCCATAAGGGACTGGTTCAATGAATTACAATTCATTCATACAACAAAATATGATTAAAAAGATATGTATGATCTTCACCAGGATTTTTTTTTTTTTTTTTTTGAGTTGGAGTCTCACTCTGTCACCCAGACTAGAGTGCAATGGCCGCTCCCGGCCACCGCAGCCTCGACCTGCTGGGCTCCGGCGATCCTTCCGCCTCAGCCTTCCGAGTAGCCGGAATTATAGGCATGCGCTACCACGCCCAGCTGATTTTTTGATTTATTGTAGAGATGAGGTCTCGCTGCCCAGGCGGGTCTCGAACCCGCGGGCTCAATCCACTCACCTCAGCCTCCCAAAGGCGCGGGATTACAGGCTGAGCCACCAAACCTGGCTTCACCAGGATTTATTAAGAGGAAAACGTAAAGTTAGAATCGTATATAAAGTTTGCTCCAATATGCATTCTAAACACACATACACATATCTCAGGTGTTCAGCCCATTGAGTCCTCAGATGACTCCAGTCCCTGCTGTCAACTGACTGTGACCACCTGATGGTGAGAACAACTGGCCCAATAAACCCACCAAACCATGAGAGGTAGTAATAAATGGTTGTTGTGAGCCACATGGTTGGCTTGGGTGGGTTACACAGTAATAAATAATCAGCACATGTGGCAACAGCAAATGGCTCACATTTCCCTCACCTCAAGCTCTGGGGAGCTTATGCCTCTCATGCCCTGTGTGCATCTGTGTCATGTACATGCCTGTGCTATGTGTATGTGAATGTGCCGAGTGCATGTTCGGGCCATGCATGCATTTTTGCCTTCACCAAGAATACCCTATGGTCTCTTCTTCACCTGGCTTATTCCTGCCTCACCTTCAAGAGTCAGTGCAGGCAACATGCTGAGTGTCACCTGACCCTCTAGGCTGGGCTATGTCCTCCTCCTCTAGGCACCTGTGCACCCTGAGTACACCTGTCTGGATATAGACTTCCAATTGCGTGGCATTATGTGGACACAGAACAGGTATGCAAAAAAAGTTTGCCAAACTAAATACACAGAGAAAAGGGAGGGAAGAGGCTTCTATTCACCTTGTGATCCCATTTAATGGAAGTCTGCCTCCTTGTCCCAAAACCGAGATCGGCAGTAGGTTCTTGCATGGCAGAAATTCACTCTGAGGTATACAGTCAATCCCTTCCCAGAACTATAATTATGATATATGGTACATACTGATAGTTGAAGATTATATTCAGTTCAGCATTAAGAGGCAGGAGAGCAAATTCTCTTGAGGATAATTTGGGATTCTATTACTTAGAAGAAAACATTTCAGAGCTGGAAAAGGCCCTGTTGCCTGTTTATCCAAGCAACCAGAGAGGTAACTGGTCAAAGGCCAAATGGCAGACTGGGGTGTTCTACCCAGTTTCTAACTGAAGGCTCTCTGCGCCTCTCAATCTGCCATGCATTTTCTTGATAGTCACCCTGAAGGCACTGCCAGATCAACCAAAGAACTGGAAGGGAAGCAAAGATCACCAGGTCTAAGGCAGCCACAGGCTGCCAGCTCCCACCCAGGCTCACCGGGTATGTGGGCTTGGTGGCGATTTCCAGAAGCTTTTGCTTAGCTCTTCGCTCTGCCTCACGGGCTTCCTGCAGGTCCTGCTTCAGCTGATCTGCCTCCTTGGCCCTGCAAGGAAAGGAGGAGATATCAGCTCCACAAAAAAGACCCCCACCCCACCCTGGAGAAGAGGGACCTGGGTTAACCCTGAAGATGGCACCTGACAAAGCAAACAAGGACAGTGGGCAAGGGATAGTTACATGAAATCAGAATTTGCAAAGCAAGGACAACATTCCTGGGTATAATTCATTTCAACTTATATATTTAAACTGGAAGAGCAGGGAGACTGGTGAGGACAAGAGTCAAACAAGAAACTCTGCAGTTGGTGGGAAGGGATGAGAGTTGGGGGAGGCATCAGAAGCCTTCTCTGCTTTATTTCTGGGTGAGCTTTGGCTGGGCAAAGGAAGAACATGGTAGATCAGAGGTCTTATATTGGATCCCTAATGACAGATATACGAAAGAAATGCTTCTTTTTTTTTTTTTGAGTCAGAGTCTCATTCTGTCACTCAGGCTGGAGTGCAGTGGCATGATCACAACTCACTGCAGCCTCCACTTCCTGGGTTCAAGCAATCCTTCTACCTCAGCCTCCCAAGTAGCTGGGACTATAGGCATGCCACCACACTAAGCAAATTTTAAAAAATTCTTTTAGAGATGAGGTCTTGCTATGTTGCCCAGGCTGGCCTCGAACTCCTGACCTCAAGTGATCCTCCCACTTTAACCTATGACAGTGCTGGTCCCAGCTAAGAAATGCTTCTTCACAGCCCCCAGGTAAAACACTGCGGGCTGAGGATCAACTTTCTCAGGCAGGAAGACGAGCCCTATCACTGAGGGCATCTATGCCTTGGTACAGATCCTTGCCCTACAGGTATGGCACTGAAGCCTGGCAGGGATATGGTCCAACATGCATAACTCACAGGGAATGTGACGCACACACAGAAAGAAAGGGGCCCCAAACAGGACAGGCAACAAAAAACCATATTCCCAGAATGATGTAAGAGTGACAAGGAGGAATGCAGTGAAGGTATCTTGGTAGCTAAAAGTCAAATTCAAGTGTTCTGAATCAACAGAGCCAAATGCTGTGGGGTATGTGTCAGTGTTTATCTGAAGGTTGCAGGACTAAAGCAATCCAGATCCTTGAACAGTCTTTGAAAAGAACTAACAACTGCCCCATCCTTCAACTTGGTCATGAGCTAAACATTCTAGTTACAAAGAGGATCCTGACACCCTTTCCCTCTCTGTCAAGAAAGGCTAAAGGGAAGCAGGTGCCTGGTTTCCCTTTAAAGGTAAACAAATGCCATTCTCCCACATTCCTCCCCAAATAAAAATTGACAAAGACTGGGCATGGTGACTCATGTCTATAATCTCAGCACTTTGGGAAGCCAAGGTGAGAGAATTGCTTGAACCCAGGAGTTTAGGACTAGCCTAGGCAACATAGCGAGACCTCATCTCTACAAAAAAATAAAAAAAGCTAGCCGGGTGTGATGGCACATGGGCTGAGGCGAAAGACTGCTTGAGCCTAGGAGGTCAAGACTCTGGTGAGCCATGATCCTGTCACTGCACTCCAACTTGGGCAAGGGTGAAATTCCAACTAAAAAAAAAGACAAAAGCCAAATTTTTTTAAATGTAAAAAGCATCCTCTTATCACAGAGACAAACACATGAATGGAGAGGTTCACCTGCAAGAGAACTGGGCTCCTGCAACCTTCCAACAGTTCCCGTCCCCAAGGTAGTTCCAGTCCCCACCACCCTGTCAAAGGGGAACCCCTCTCCTGTCCAGAAGATGGCAAAGCAACTGGAAGACAACTGCTATAGAGCTTGGTCTCAAACCGGGCCAGGGTTAGGAAACCCTTTGCCAGGTTCCTCGTTGGCCTGGTGCCCAGGACCAGCCTCTTACCTCCTCTCCGACTCCTCGGCCATCTTCAGTGCCAGCACTTCAGCCTCTAGCACCTTCTGCTCCATCAGGCGTTTCTCCTCCTCTGTCCGAATAGCTGTGGCCTTGATGCGCTGCATTTCCTGCTCAGCCTCTGCAGCTTTCTGTGCAAGGAGTTTTGCCTCCTCCTCAGTGATCTGGGCCTTTTCAGCCAATAGGTCAGCTGTCTCCTCAGACCGCATCTGGAGAGCAGACTGCTGTCAGCTGGTATAAGAGCATGTGCTATTCTCTTGCCCAGATATGGTCTCTTAGACTCCCTGGGCCCTGCCACTAAGTGTCCCCAGTGATCCTCTGGCAACAGATGACAAGACACATTCCCCAACTTTTCAGAAGGGCCCTTTAGGCTGCATCCATGGGGAACAACAAGAAAGAGCACCTTTTAGGGGATACTCACTTCAGCTGAGGCTTATGCTTTATGAGGGAGAGAAACAACATAAACACTGTTCTTTATTTCCTTTAAATCAGTGTTTCAAAATCAGAGGAGGCTTTGCCCTCTACAAGGGATAAGTGGCAAGCCTGGAGACATTTTTGACTGCCACAAATGAAGGGTGAGGTGGTGCTACTGGCATCTATGCCCTGCAACAAATGATGGTCAGCCCCAAATGTCAGTAGTGCAGAGGCTGAGAAGCCCTGCTGCAAGGCAACCTCATAGTGAAAGTGGAGTATGGCTGCACATGAACTCAACCCAAATCTGCTTCTGCCAACACAGGTAGAAGGAAAAGGTGCTGGTTTTTTTTCTCTTGATGCTGAAATAAAGTGTATCCAAGCAAATGTTGCTAATTCACAGTCCTCAGGAGGGTACTCCAGAAAAGCAAAGAAGTCCCCAGCAGTCTCCTGGGACTCCAACCCTTCGGAAATTACCAGTGCTTCATTGGCCATTGTTGCTTCTTCTTTCATCTGCAGCAGCCTCCTCTCCAACTCATCCCTCGTGCGTTCAGCCTCCTCCCTCATCTGCTTCTCTCGAGCAAGGCGCTGTCGCTCCATCTGGGGAGTGAACAATAGCAGTCACTGAGTCATGGGATACAAGACTTTGGGTGCCCAAGATTCCAAGAATGCCCGATATCCAGAGTCTTCCCTCTGGGGACCCTTTTCTTCCCCTTCCTTTAAGTAATAAGGGTCATTCTTGTTGTCCCTCCACCCCGTCCTTCTAAACCAGTTGCAGAGTTGAAAGCTGTGCCCCTTAAAAGAAATTCTAGGCTGGGCTCAGTGGCTCAGCCTGTAATCCCAGTGCTTTGGGAGGCCGAGGTGAGTGGATTGACTGAGCCCGCGGGTTCAAGACCCGCCCAGGCAACTTGACAAGACCTCATCTCTACAATAAATCAAAAATTAGCTGGACGTGGTAGTGCGCGTCTGTAGTTCCAGCTACTTGGAAGGCTGAGGCGGAGGGATTGCTGGAGCCCAGCAGGTCGAGGCTGCAGTGGCCAGGAGCGTGCCACTGTACTCCAGTCGGGGCGACGGAGTGAGACTCCAACTCCAAAAAAAAAAAAAAAAAAAAAGAAAGAAATTCTAGTGTATGTATAAATGAACGAACAACAAAAAAACCAAGTCCAGTGTCAACATGGATAGAAAGAGGCATTCTTACACATGGTGTACTGAAATAGCTACCTTGTCAATGCTCATTTTTTTGAGAAACCTCAGGTGGCTGAAGGGCTACAATGCGGGTCTTCTTCCCTGAGACAGAGCCCCAGAAACAGGAAGCTTTCTCATCTGGTCAGACAAGTCACCTCACCACTTCTAATCCACAGAGACTCCTCTCACATCTCTGATTTCATCAACAATGCCTCTGACCCACAGAAAGGATGGAAGTGCTCTGTGTGATGCATCGATAGTCACACATTGTATTTCGCAGGAGGAAGCTGTAACAGTCACAGCACAAACTCACACAGCCTCACGTGGAGACAACTCCTGAGCCAGGCCTGTGACAGGAGGGAGTCAGGCAGGGAACACAGGCCCCCCCTTCCTTAAGGCAACAGTACAAAGCTGCCGCCACCTCCCTTGCCTTCTGGATCACTGCATTAATTGGACCACATGCTGAGCTTAATAAGGGGAAAGAGCACAGGACAGTGCTATTCTCTGTGATTCCATGGTACTAACTGAGTTCAGAAAGCAGAATCTGGCTGGGTTCGGTGGCTCAGCCCGTAATCCCAGCGCTTTGGGAGGCCGAGGTGAGTGGATTGCCTGAGCCTGGGGTTCGAGACCCACCCGGGCAACTTGGTGAGACCTCATCTCTACAATAAATCAAAAAATTAGCTGGGCATGGTAGCACACATCTGTAATTTCAGCTACTCGGAAGGCTGAGGCGGAAGGATCACTGGAGGCCAGTAGGTCAAGGCTGCAGTGGCCGGGAACATGCCACTGCACTCCAGTCTGGGCGACAGAGTAAGACTCCAACTCAAAAAAAAAAGAAAGAAAGCAGAATCCAAAGCGACCACTACACTATTTTCTGACTTAAATAACTAAAGCATGTTTAATTACTTCTTGCTTCAATCTTATCCCAAACTATAGTCACACAAGATTCCTAAGGCTGCTGCTTTTTCTAAATACTAAGCCAAAAACTGCACTAGAATTTGAAAGAATAACGCAAAATCAAGCAGTAAAATACTGTTAAGTCCTTCTCCAATTTTCTTCTTGTGGGTCAATGAAAAGTTTAGCCAATTTGTTCTCTAATTTCTACTGTATTACGATTTCCATAAGATGGATTATTACATCTCTATTATTCTAAAATAAGCCCAAGCAATTTCCTTCAGTTCCTAGCATTGTTCTTTCTCTGAGACCTCCATCCCAACAATAAAGGACCTCTCGTTCAAAAAGCAGTTTATCACTTACAAAAACTTTCAGGTATAAGATAGTCCTTGAGATGGAAAGAGGTATAATTAGCTTCAGTTAATGGATGAGAAAACTGAAGTCTGGAAGGTAAGTCTTGACTGACACCACATTTTAAGTTTCAGATCTGGCTCCAAGGTCAGTGTTTCCCCTACTGGGCCATGGAGCCCCCTGACCTGCAGTTGCCCAGATGCCAGGGATGTGACTCTGCTGTTCGACAGGCAGCGCAGGTCTGGGGTGTGTTTGTGCTATTCTCTGTCAGAGCTCAGGGGCCTACACACTCCTTGATGCTCTTAGATTTCTCACTTTTAAGCTTTGCTCTGCTGAGAAAAAGGTCAAAGAGAACTCTTCTTGAAGTTGCCACTATGACCCCATACTGGTTCAGTAGCATTTCTCTGTTCAACAAAACCCATGCCAACCACCCCCAAAGCATCCCAAAAAGCACATCTGTGAGCCATCTCAGAGAGTAAAGAGATGAAGTGCTGAAAGCACACTATATCAAACTGGACATTTCTTTCCAAATCCTAGGGCTGGGAGCCAGCCTCTCTGATGGACCTAAATCAGAGAGCTACACACAGACTAATTATTACACCTCTAAGCCTGCAAGTCCTGAGGGCAGCTGACTGCAGCTGCCATTACTCTATCTGGTAGTTTGTCCAAAACACAATTGATATTCTCAGCAGTGAGGCTCAAAACAGTTGTGTGAATTTCTGTGAGTAGAGAAGGTCTGTGAATAGAAAACAATGATGTGGACCATCCAGTCTGCTGAAAGGTGCTCCAGGCACCTCCCAGGGCAGGTGGTGTGCCATCCGGCCTGACCTACAGTGAAGAAGTGCAGCCAGAGTCTAATTAGCATTCCAGCAGTAAGCACTACAATGCTGCCATGCATTCTATCACCATTTAATTAGAAAAAGAGAAAGAAGGCAGAGCAAAGGAGGCAGACAGGCAAAAAGAAAGATAGCTAGATAGATGTATAGGTGCATGCATGCCTTGCTGCCTTGGCCCAAACCTACGTTAGTCATACTTTACTTCCCTTAAGTGTAGAAATAACTAGTGATGTTTCTTTTAGATATGCCGTTAGAATTAATTCCTCATACCATAGCTGACATTCTACCAGCTAAGTATAAAACAAGACAAAGGCACGTTCATGGTCAAATGATTCCCACCAGCCTACAGCCACCTCACCTCCCAGATCAGGACTGACTTAGCAGTGACATCATCAGTTAAAACAAGGTCTTGGGCCGGGTGCCGTGGCTCACGCCTATAATCCCAGCACCTTGGGAGGCTGAGGTGAGAGGATTGCCTGAGCCCGCGGGTTCAAAACCAGCCTGAGCAACTTGGCAAGACCTCATCTCTACAATAAATCAAAAAATTTAGCCAGGCATGGTGGCATGTGCCTGTAGTTCCAGCTACTTGGAAGACTGAGACATAAGGATAGCCTGAGCCCAGCAGCTGAGGCTGTGGTGGCTGGGAACGTGACACTACCCTCCAGCCTGGGTGACAGAGTGAGACTCCAATACAAAAAAATTAAAAAATAAAAAATAAAACAAGATCTTGCTCACCTGCTTTCTAGCCTTCTCCTCCCTGGCCTGGGCCTTCATCTGTTGAACTTCCAAAGAATCAGCCTTCCTTCTCCTCATAAATAGGTCATGGTTCCCAATACATAACTGAAGAATCTGTGGCCACAGAAGCAGAAGACATGTTAATACCCACAGATTTCCTTCCCTGCCTACCAGCCCATCAGTCCACCAGTGCTATAGCATCTTGTGGGTAGTAGCAAAGCTGAAAAGGAAAGCATGGAGTAAAATACTGAAGCCCTGCTAATGTCTCTGGTGCTGCCAGTACTGGAGACATACAAAATGAAGGTGCCTCCATATGCCAAAAGGTAAACATCACAAGTGAAGAGCGGGACAGAGGATACTTTATCATGTCTTCCAGATGCACCTTACTCTTCCACTAAGGCAAGATGTGGCTCTTCAGATCAGAGAGGATAGGAAGCTCATTCAGTGACTGAGCTGGGACAATGTGTTATTCAGGTGGAAAAAAAATAAGTTGGATCCCTCCCTCATACCATTCACAGAAACTGATTTCAGAAGGATTAAAAAATTAAATGCAGAGATCATACCCTTGAAACATTTAGAATAAAGAATATCTTGATAATCATAAGATAAGAAAAGCTGCCAAGTGAGACACAAAAAGCACAAATGATTAAGGAAAATATTTATACATTTGTCCACATTAAAATTAAACATTTGGCCGGGCTCGGTGGCTCAGCCTGTAATCCCAGCACTTTGGGAGGCCGGGTGAGTGGATTGCCTGAGCCCGCAGGTTCAAGACCCGCCCGGGCAACTTGGTGAGACCTCATCTCTACAATAAATCAAAATGAGCTGGGCATGGTAGAGAGTGCCTGTAGTTCCGGCTACTTGGAAGGCTGAGGCGGAAGGATCGCCGGAGCCCAGCAGGTCGAGGCTGCCGTGGCTGGGAGCGGCCACTGCACTCCAGTCTGAGTGACAGAGTGAGACTCCAACTCAAAAAAAAAAAAAAAAAAAAAATTAAACATTTTTGACTCGGCATGGTGGCTCACATCTGTAATTCTGGTATAGAAGGCCAAGGCAGGAGGACAGTTTGAGCCCAGGAGTTTGAGACCAACCTAGGCAACACAGCAAGACCTTGGTGCTACTAAAAAATAAAAAAAAACTAGCCAGACATGTAGTCCTACCTACTTGAAAGACTGAGATGGAAGGATCATCTGAGCCCAGGTGGTTGAGATTGCAGTTAGCCATGATCCTGCCACTGCATTCCAGCCTGGGCAACAGAGTGAGATACTGACTCAAAAATAAATAAATTAAATTAAAAATTGTTATTGTCAAAACATAAAAAGGGCAAAAAAAACATGCTACAAACTGTGAGAAGATATAACCAATAAAGAAAACAAACAATCCAAGAGAAAAGTGGTCAATATGAAACAAGTATTTAACAGAAAAGAAAATAATACTAGCCAATAAAAATGTGAAGCTGGGCTCGGTGGCTCAGCCTGTAATCCCGCGCCTTTGGGAGGCTGAGGTGAGTGGATTGCCTGAGCCCGCGGGTTTGAAACCCGCCTGGGCAGCAAGACCTCATCTCTACAATAAATAAAAAAATTAGCCAGGTGTGGTAGCGCATGCCTGTAATTCTGGCTACTTGGAAGGCTGAGGTGGAAGGATCGCCAGAGCCCAGCAGGTCAAGGCTGTGGTGGCCGAGAGCGGCCACTACACTCCAGTCTGGTGACAGAGTGAAACTCCAACTCAAAAACAAAAAAACGCCAGGAATGGTGGTGCACGTTTGTGGTTCCAGCTATTTGGAAGGCTGAGGCAGAAGGATCACCTGAACCCAGCAGGTCGAGGCAGCTACTTGGAAGGTTGAGGCTGAAGGACACCTGAATCCAGCAGGTCGAGGCTGCAGTGGCCGTGAACATGCCATTGCACTCCAGCCTGGGCAACAGAGTGAGAATCCAACGCAAAAATGAAAAAAAAAGGCTGATAATATTAGTATTAAGGATATCAAGCAAAAGGAAGTCTCAGTCGGGTGCAGTGGTTCATGCCTGTAAGTAATCTCAGCACTTGGGAGGCCAAAGCAGGAGGACTGCTTGAGTCCAGGAGTTTGAAACCAGTCTGGGAAACATAGTGAAACCTTGTCTCTACAGAAAATTTTAAAAATAAATAATAAATAAATAAAAAGGAAGTTTCATGTATGGCTGTTGGGTCTGTAAATCTATTCACTTTCTTTGGAAAACGTGTCATAATTTTGAATTTGAACACACTTTTAGCCCCATACTTCTACTCCTATGCATATACTCTAGACCCTAAATAAACTATTGCCCATGTGCACCAGGAGACAGATACAAAAATTTCTCATAACAGCCTATTAAAACAATATAGGAGGCCAGGCTCGGAGGCTCGGCCTGTAATCCCAGCACTTTGGGAAGCCGAACAAGAGGATTCTCTGAGGCCTCGGGTTTGAGACCAGCCTGGGCAACTTATCGAGAACTCATCTCTACAATAAATCAAAAATTAGCTATAAGTGGTAGCATGCGCCTGTAGTTTTGGCTACTTGGAAAGCTGAGGCGGAAGGATCACTGGAACACAGGAGGTTGACGCTGGGGTGGCTGTGAGTGTGCCACTGCACTCCAGCCTGGGCGACAGAGTGAGTAAATAAGTAAGTAAATAAATAAATAAGATAAAATATAGGAGAATGAGAAAAATTATATATCCGTATAATAGTGTAATATAAAGAGGTGAAAATGAACAGACTATACCTTTAAGCATGAACACAGATAAATCTCAAAAAATAATGTATAAAAAGGCAACTGACAGAAGTACACAGTTGACAGCATTTAGATAAATTTCATAAACATGTAACTTAAAAGTATATTTGCTTTGCATATATGAAATAAAATTTAGATGAAAAACAAGATGATGATGAACACTCAGCTCAGAACAGTGATCATCCTTGGGGAGGAGGTTAACGGAGAGACTTGCAGGCTGCTAACATGCTACATGAGGTAACAGAGAGACTCGCAGGCCTCAACAGTATAGGAGTCTATCACCTCTTAAAGGTGGGTATGGGTATACAGCTATTCTTTTCTGTTATTCTTTATACCTTATGCACACATATACTTATCATTTTAATGTATGAAGTACTTCATTAAAAATAATTTTTTTAGCCAGGCTCGGTGGCTCAGCCTGTAATCCCGTGCCTTTAGGAGGCTGAGGTGAGTGGATTGCCTGAGCCCGCAGGTTCGAGACC